ACAGAAAATGGCGTTAATAAACAAAAACACAAAAAGCACTACGGAGCGTAATCCAGAGGCTGCCGTCTGCGGCGCCATCTTGTTGTCTCTCAGCATCATATCCTAAGGAAGAGGATTAGGGCCACATGTGTATTTTTGAGTACTGAGATTAAAGCCAGAAACGTCAAATAAAAGAGGCGCCGGTGTATATCCACTGTGAAGATGTGGACAGCATGGCATGTTAATTTTGCAGAGAGAATTGGAGGTAAACTAGCTATATTACTGTAAAGACTGTTAACTTAATAGCAGTGATGTGTTGCCATGGCACTTTCAGACGCCGTTCACCACTTTACGAGGCGCTGTGAGGGGAAAAAAGGCACTGATCGTGGGGAATCCACTTGTAGTTCTGCTTCAACTGTGCGACAGCCTGACGACGGCCGACCAAAATTTCTGACGTGAAATTAATCTAACCGTCCAACGGTCGTTTGGGAGCAGTTGATCGGTTCTCTCTTTCCCCTGTACACTGCACGTCAAACGATGCCAGATGAAGTGATCGGCCCGACTCTAAAATGAGTCCCTGGACGGGTCAGAAATGGTCTGAAATCGTACAGTGTAAGCCCAGCTAAAATGTAAAATGTCAAAACGGGTAAAACACAGTGACAAATGGCCATGTATATACTTTTATTTGATAGGTAGCAGAAATACGAAAGCTTTCCTTATTGCCTTGCAAGGGCTGTTCAACAAAAAGTGATTTAGTTTAAACGTCCTAGCGCCTTACAGCCAGGACCGTTTGGCTACAGAAGGAAACATACCCCATATTTTCTGTCTCATCTGCCATACTATATCCAAACAGTCCAATATTTCTACAAAGACAAGGGCTATTTGAATTTTATTAAGACCCCCATGAAACCAGAACAGCTATCTACGAATAAATTGTGGATACCACAGAAACAAGTGGCCTGTGTGTCAGCTAGATTAGTACATATGGTGCTGACAATGCATCTGTAAATTTTAGCATGCAAACACATTCCTTTTTTCAAAAACTGAAATCAGTCAGTCCACATATCATAAAGGGTAACTGCAAATGCCACTTGATCCACAACACCCTGAAAAACCTGAACAGAATCAGTTTTGATGTTGAATCCAATGTCCTAAAAATCAGGGAATTGTCATGCTCAGTCAACAAAAATTGAATCTCGGAAAGAGTTTTGCAAGTTTACTTCAATACAGTACATAGAGATACAAAAGCATGTACCAACCCGTTGGTTATCTGTATTGCCTGCAGTTCAGCAGTTCTTGGACTATGCTCTGTCCTGAAGTGTTATTTTTTTGTCATTGGGAAAGAGGGATTGTCCTGAAGGTTATCTGGAAGGTTATATGCACAGGTGGTGCTGATGCTGCTTACAGCAGTGATGAGAAAGATGTGACAGAGTCTGAATGTTTAATGTTACTCATGCACAACGTCATGCAGGAATTTGAAAGCGTAATTTGAGTGTTGCAGGGCGGGGGTGGTGATGGAACAGTGGCTAAGACACATGCTTTTGGTGTGAGAGACCCAGGTTCATGCCCCACTGTAACACATCCACCAATGTGTCCCTAAACAAAACACTTAACCCCTAGTTGCTCCAGAGGTGTGCGACCTCTGACATGTATAGCAATTCTAAGTCGCTTTGGATAAAAGTGTCAGCTAAATGAATAAATGTAAATGTAATAAGTATTGGAAGATGAGAGTGCTACTCTCCTGGATGTTAAGATTTTATGGTAGTAAAACGAAGCAAGGAATCTTGAAAAGTAAGTGCAAGAGATCATACGGAGTTCACAACACTGGCCAACAGCTTCTTTGTAAAGGCTGTTTTACTGTATAACTTGTGGCTCAGTGATCCAGTTATGTCTAATGCTAGCTGTCTGCCACTCAGTGGTCCAATTGAATGGGGTACACTGAGCGACTGGTCGAAAAATTAGCTCTGGGCATTGACGAAGACAAACTGTTTCAGTACTACACTATACTAAACGATGTATTTGAAAGCATTCCAGAAGAGCAGAAATTAGCTTTTTTTTCAAGAACGAGAATGCAGCAACTAAACTGCTCAAAGTGTTATCCTTTTGTTTTTTCTGTCGCCATCAGTAACACTTAGGCAGGGTTGGTCAAAGCAGAATTTAAAGTTAGACTAAACTTTAAATCATCATGCTTGGAGTTTAAAGCATTCATTGAGGGACAGCAGGGACTTCTGCAGGCAGCAAAAGGGATGAGAAATACACATGGAAAAAGAGGTGAGATCTAATTATGTTTTTATTGCTAAAGGGAGGATAGCCTCCTTTTGGACATTTGATTAGATTATATAATAGATTATAATTATACAGTATATGCTTACACATAAAAGTAAAAAGTATGTATTTAACATATTTATATCAAACTAAAAATAGGCTCCTCAACCATCACTCCAACCGGGCTGGTAAAAAACTTGGGTGTCACGACTGATGGCCAACTGTCTTTCTGAGACCATGTTGCTGCTGTTTCTCTGTCGTGCCTCTTTGCTCTATTCAACATAAGATAAATCAGGCCCTACCTCACTCAGTACGCCACCCAGCTTCTGGTAGAGGCCATGGTTATCTCCCACCTCGACTATTGCCTCCTAGCAGGTCTTCCAGCTTGTGCGGTGAAACCCCTACAAATGGTTCAGAACGCAGCAGCGCGTCTGGTTTTTGATCAACCCAAAAGGATCATGTCAGTCCATTACTGAGTGACCTCCACTGGCTACCTGTGGCCTCCCGAATTAAATTCAAGTCACTAATGCTTGCATACAGAGTGACTACTGGGTCTGCACCCATCTACCTAAACTCCATAATACAAGCTTACGTTCCACACGCCATCAGAGCAGGGGCGTCCCTCTCTAACTTCAAGAAGCTCTTAAACTCATCTCTTTCGAGAACACTTCCTCTTATAACGCTTGTAACCCCTGACCTCTAACATGCTTCCTGTGCATCTCCTTACAATTCCCTTGTATTGATTGCGCTTTTCTAAACTCTAAACCCATTGATGCATACGCACTATTATCTCTTACTAGTAGTTATTGCTGATCTTACTAGTATCTATTGTCACATGTAGATCCCTTACTTTATTTATTCCTTACTTTATAATACTTTATTTTATTTTGTATGTTCCTCAAATGTAAGTCAAAGTACATGATGTTTTTTCAACTTTCATACTTTTAATATTGAAATTTACATTGACATTTTCTGTATTCAAATGCATGGCAGAATGTTCAAAATGTCCACATTTTCACAAATTTTTAGGCCTTCTCAACTTTTACCTACTCTTTCATACTTTCAGCTACAAACTCCATTCTAATATGACAACTGTTCCACATCTTTCCTACATTCTTGGTATTATTCAACTTTCAAGTCCCATTAAATATTTTTAAAATATTCAAGTTAGTTATAATGCCAGGAGGAGAAATACAAATTTTGAAGAAATTTCTAATTCTTCTCTTTATTCATTGTTTTAGCTTTAAACTATATTCAGACCTTAAAATGTTCCACATCGTTCATGCAGTATGAGGTTTATTCAACTTTTAAATCCCATTCGTACTTTGAAGTTACTATGAAGTGCATTCCCTTTCACTACGACATCCCAGCATAACAGAAACACATGGATGCATTCTCAAAATAAAAGTCCCCAACACTCACTCTATCTTTACAGGGAACTCGGGACTAGTGTTTTCCTAAAATAAGGGTTTCCGACGGTCACTGTTAGTTAACAGGAAACTAGGGACCTAGTTTTTCAAAAAAGGCCCAGACAATAAATGCATCTTTATAGGGAACTCAGGATGAGGCTATTCAAAATAAAAGCCGAACCATACAGTATAGGAAAAACACGTGTCCCAACAGATAACTACACACAGAACCCCTGACTGCAGCTGGTGACACAGGTAATTGAGATTAGCTAATTAGTATTAGTATGCATAAGTACACACACACATACTTATGCATACTTTCTATTACAAATTCCATTCAAACATTAAAATCCTCCACAATTTTCATATATTATGGGCATTATTCAAGTTTTAAATTTAATTCAGACATATCAATTATATCTATCGATCAAGCCAGATGAAAGAAATCAGCTAGCTAAACTTGCCAAGGATGTAAAAACCTGGATGACTTGTAATTTTCTAATGTTAAACTCAAACAAAGCTGTTGTTGTTGTACTGGGGGCCCAAACACCTCCAAGACGCAAGATGCGTTTGTTACTTTTAGGCTGGATTATTGTAACTCCTTATTATCAGGCTGCCAGCACAAGTCTCTTAAGACTCTTCGGCTGATCCAGAATGCTGACAACAAAAAGGAAAAGACATCAAATTTCTTCTGTTTTAGCTTCTCTGGACTGGCTCCCTGTACAATCCAGAATTTGAAATCCTTCTGTTCACCTACAAAGCCCTTAAAGGTCAGGAACCATCTTATCTTAAAGAGCTCATAGTCCACCAATGTGTCCCTAAGCAAGACAACCCCTTGTTGCTCCACTGGAGCCCACTGGAACACTGCACACCCAGAATACAGGGTTACTTGTGGTTCCTAGAGTCCCAAAAGAAAATGGGAGCCAGAGCGTTCAGCCATCAACTCCTCTCCTGTGGAGCCAGGTTCCAGTTTGGGTTCAGGAGGCAGACACCATCTCCACAGATGAGTAAGTTTAAGACTTTCCTCTTTGATAAAGCTTATAGTTAGGGCTGGCTCAGGTGAGTCCTGAACCATCCCTTAGTTATACCGCTATAAGCCTAGACTGCCGGGGGATTTCCCATAATGCACTGAGCTCCTCTCTCCTCCTAACCCTCTACATCTGTATATATTCTTATCCCATTAATACATGTTACTAACTCGACTAATGTTTCAGCTAGATACTACCTTTCATACAATATAATAATATATTTCATACTCAATATTTGAGCTTTTTTCAATAATGGAAGAATAAGCAATACAAATCCATTATCTAAAATGCAGAAGACTGAACCTGAGTGTGTACTTACAGGAGAAGGAGATGTGTCTTCTCCAGCCCAGACAGTCAAGACCAATGGGGGTGCTCTGAGAGAAGCAGTGGGCCTTGAGGGGCATCCCCCGGAAGGCCCTAACGTGCCCAAAGGTGACTCCAGCATGTGTCTGTGGGAATGTAAGAGGATTAGTTCAAATCACTGATATTTTTTACTGACATACATTTGTCTGCTAATGATGAGCTGGACACGACCCCACAGAGTGATAAGCAAAGAAAAGAAAACATGATGTACCGCCATGCATGAATGCTTTATGAATTAAATTGCAGATGAGTGGAGAAAATACATTAGGAGGCCATGCCCGAAGTAAACAGACACCGAGGCTTCACATCTATAAGAAAAAGTGTCAGAAGCCACCAGAGAGAAACAGGGAGAAAGACAGTAATGCAGATGCAAAGCACAGAATGAAGAAGATGAGGATTACAAAGACTTCCAAGGATTGGATCTTTGTTTTGACATCTCACCGAACAGTGGCCACAGCTTTCTTTGTCCATATCTTCAGATAAGAGTGTGTTCAGTTGGCCCAGGCTCCCCCTGATGGCTCTAGCCAGTTTGCGTTTGAATTTCTTTTGCTCTTCAATCCAGAGGTCATCTGAACACTCTAGCATCCGCTGCTGGCCACCTCCATCTCCATCCTGGCCCACATACACCCAGCAGCCAGTCCTCAGTCTGCCAGGAACCACAGCGGCCTTCCCCTCACCCTTGACTTTGAGCTTTCTTGTTCTGGACTGAGTGGCAGGTTGACCACTGTTTTGTGTGCCCTTTGGAGTGCACAGTTAAGTGATTAGTCACAGTCAGCTTTTCTATACAACTCCACTCCGTTTCAGTCCCCCAGGTACAGTGCACGACTGTGGCTACTTTTAATTCTAGATTTTCATTGTAACTTTGGATACAGTCATTACTGTCAATGAGTTTGTATGATATGGCATGAGGGTGGACAGTGAACAGAGACAGCCAAATGGATGTCAGTGTCAGTGTGGATTGAAATGACCAAATGCTTAAATAGCGCTTACATGTCGCTCACAGATACCACCAATTCTCAGGTATCTGAAAGAAGACAAAACATTCTTTTTTATGTCTCTATAAACAGTGTGTTGATGTCCTAAAGTTTGGGAAACTCAGAGACAGCCAAAATGACCTGCCTAACTTAACACAAAAGTAACATTAACTCAAAGTAACATAAAGTCCAAACTTGTTTTTTCTTGCCAGATCACATTGCAAAGCAGTGGGGCATTTCTTCAGATTGAACATTAATTGTCTGGTGTGAGACTTGTGAATATTGTCCCTTTCACAGGAGAGGTCCTACAGTATTATGTGTCAGGCCAATAGGGCAGTTAATGCCATTAGTGTTAAACTAGACCAGAGGAGAGAACAAAGGAATGTTAGAAGCCCTCACAAATTGTTCTGAAATCCTGTGTTGAAGTAGCTAATTTATAGTCTTATTCTATTTGGGACCATCTGAGAGGAAGCCACAAGGGGGTGCTCCTGCTCTGGCTCTGTCACTATTGTAGTAACTGACTGGAAGGTAGGATGATGGTATCCAGCCAACTCAGAATGGAAACCTATATCCTGGGGGCTGAGAAGGAGAAAAAGATGACTCCTGTTTCTGTCCATCTCTTTATCTAGTTTACAGAGAGCAACAAAGAAACATGTGTTATGTGTTCCACTGACAACTGCCCTGAGACACAAGTTAATAGACACTAACACTCAATGGCAGAGCAAGTGATTAACTGGTCTTGTTAGTGTGTGCTGGAGGCGGGGAAGAAACACTTTTCCCAAGGAGCTGGAACCACATTGGCGTCTTAATTGAGGCCTGAAAAACGTCTGTTTTCATTCATATGAAACATAGGAACTGCAACAGCACATTATCAATTTTAATACAATCCCACTAAAATTGGTACTTATGATTTAGATTGTATTTTTTTAATAAAGATTTTAAACATTTCTCTGTGCATGAGAAACTTTTTTTCTTACCTCTACTTCGTTGATGGAGCCATTGGCATATAGGCTGATGTGTGACTGGCTGTCTATTCTGCCCTCGTCTACATCCAGAGGGCTAGCAGATGGTTTTATGGTTTTTGGTCTCTTAGGGGGGTCTGTCAATCCCTCCACGCTGACTGACTGGCCCAGAAGGATAGGAGAGACAGAACTGGCCCTTGCATAGAGAGGGTAGCGAAACATTTTGCGCTGAGCTGCCGGCCTAGGGCTGTTTGGTTTAGGGCTCATTGGCCGTAGGGGATGCTCAGTCAAGCCCTCACTGGCCACTGGGTGGGATGTGGTCCAGGATGGTGAAAGCTTATGAGCAAAGGTGGCTAGTGAGCTGGGGCTCAAAGGTGAGTCAGGGCTGACTGCAGAGTCATCTAAAAATTGAGGTAGGCCAGAAATACACAGTGTGGTAGGTGGACCATTTGCTGAACATTTTCTTCTCTGGCCTTCAGATTTACACCCATGGATGTTTCCCTTCCCACTAACTTGTGGAACTCCCCGCTTGAAGATGGGATCAGTGTGGCGAAGAGCTCTGAGGGAGGATGGTGACCCTGGACTGCTGAACCTGTCTCGGATTAGAGAGGATGTTAAGTCTCCAAGGTCGTGCTCAGAAGCTGTGTTGGTACATTCTCCATCTGGCACTGAAAGAGTTCTTTTAAGTATCTCAGCCTTTTTTAGCTTCCTCCAGGATAATTTGGCTTTACCAGAATCCACATCAGTGCCCACTGTGGCCTGCCCCTCATTCTCCTTATCCATCGAACGGGACTCAAATAGGCTGGAAAGGGACCTGTGTGCTTGTGCAAAACACATGCGGATGTTCAAACTGTCATTGCTCTTGCTCCTCTTGTAAGTCTGCCCATTAGGTGACTGGACTTGCCGTAGGAGGGGGTTGTCTGGGCTTGGTCCTCCATTACCCTCCCCATCACTCCCTTGGCTGACTAGCTGACGGACATGGCGAGTGTGGGGAGTAGGGGAGAAAAAGCCACAGTTCTCTTTTTCTATCTCGCAACGCAATGAGGTAATTGCTTGGTGGACTGTTTGGTTAAGAACATCACCTTTGGCAAAAACCTCATCATCTGAGTTGTCCCTCTGTGGCCCTTTCTCATCCAGAAGGGCCTCCTCCTCACCGCCTCCATCTGATGGCTCCTGGGGTACCTCCTCACTTTTGGCACCTTTTGAGCCCTTAGCCTTCCTGAAAGAAGGCATTTTAGCAAAGACGGAAAACTTAGAGCCTTTATTTCCTGAATTGTTGCCTTTTGTTTTGCTTCTCTTGTTCATTTTGTCAGGGTTGGCATTTCTGGCTGAAATAACAAAGCAAGGATCCTCCAACACATCACAGTTGCTGCTAGCTGAGGTGTATGATGCAGCATCATGGGCAACAGTCATGGGTCTACAGTGTTTTTCGCTACTATTACATAGGACTGGGTTCACCTCAGGTTCTGACTCCGCAGTTCTTAAAGATTCTTGTTCCTGCTCAGGCTGGTGGTGCGGAGTCTTGATACTGGAGATGTACCCTGAAAGGTTAACATTATCCTGAACTACCTCAGCAGGCCTCTTATTCTCGGATTCCTTCTTTGTTTCTTTTTTTAAATCATCCTCTATTGTGCTGCAATTTTCCAGTGACCGCTCAGCCTCCAAAATTGGCTCTAAACTACTGACAGCTAGCAGGTTGAGGCTGACATCAGGGTGTGAGTACCTTACTGCTCTCACCTCCTGCAGTGGAGTTGGTAAACTGATCTGTGTGTGGTCTCTGTATTCCGCAGACAGTGCATATTCCTTAAATGATTCGGATGAGCTGCCTCTTCTTCCTCTGTTAGGTAAGCTGTGATCCCCTGGTTGGCTACAATACTTCCCTTCTTTAAATTCACTATCCACTAAAAGGCCTCTACTCTCTGAACTTGGCACGAAGGACATAAGGCCTTCATTTCTTTCTGAGTTAGAATACGCTAGACTTTCTATAACAACATTATCCTCAACACTGTCTGTCTTTAGTGTTTCTAATTCATCTGCATGAGCCAAGCTTAAATGGCAACAGCTAGCAAGGTCTTTCCTCAGCAGAGAGTCTTCACAGCTACAGTTGGGAATTAAATCAGAAACTGCCTGTGGCTTGTCTAAATCTTCCAAGGGGTCAGAGGTGATATTTGTTGATGGGTCAACCAGGAGGCAAATTATTCTCTCATTATTTTTGTAATTGTTCAGGGCTGTCCCTGAGAAGCAGCCTACACCCTCCCCTCTCCTTGCCCCTTTTATACTGGCCTTGGTGTTATTGTTGGAGTCTGAGAGCAGAGAAAGAGAGGCTTGCAAGCTAGAGGAAGGTACCGGGATCTTAACTGTCTTACAGTGACTTGAAATTATGCTGAGAGCAGATTGTATGTTTGTCTGGGACACTGCCTTTTGAGGTACACCCGGGTGTTCTCCCCTAATGTCCTGAATGGACTCAGCAAGACATGTTGATGTTTTTCCTATCTCACTAGGCACATGTTGCGTAACGTAGGAATCCGAATCACTGGCAGTCGCTTTTGAGGTAACTCTTAGCTCACTGTGCTCAGAAATCTCTGTTGTGCCAAGTTGTGGTTGTCGAAGATTGACCTCGTTTACTGCTTCCACAATTTGTTCCTGGTCAAGATAAACAGGCCTTTCCTCCACTTCTCGCTCCTTGTTTTGCTGGAGAAGAGAGCAGGGTGATCCTACCCTCCGTCTCTCTCTTTGAAAGTTCTCTGATAACGGGGAGGAGGTATCCTCTGCTCCTCGTTTGGCAGAAATAAACTGATTATTTTTGAATTGGTGATGATGCAGACATTCCTTAGACCCCTTACCAGTATCAGATTGGATATGAGGTGAGTAAGGCCCTGGTTCTGCAGAGTCTGGCAGTGCCCTCACCAAAAGCTTGTCTGCCGAATGCTGCTGCCTATGAGTAGCACCCCCCTGATCCAAGTGATTAGGGATTAAATCCTGGATTTGACCTGGGACTTGCCATGGATGCAACCGTGTGCTCTGAGTTTGTTTTTCATCTGGTTGCCTCTCAGCCAGACTCTCTGTCTCCCTGTCTGAGTCTGCCAGTGGTACAGGTGAGGCTAGAGTAGAAACCTTCGGAACCACAGTCAGTTCAGTAGCACATGTATCGAATAGAAAAGAGGCTGTGGTCTGTGTAGATGATGTGATGGAGGAACCTATTTCATTTACCGTCCCAGGTGACTTAGTCCCCTCTGTTGTAGTGCCAACACACCCAAACCGTTCCACCTGGAAGCTGTCATGTGATACACTATTTGTCTTTGTACCATGTGCTTCTGTGAAGTATTGATTTGCTACAACTACTTCTGTAATTAACTGAAAGTCTGGGTATGTGCATGAGTGTGCTGCTGTACAAGGACTGTCGAATGTTTGTGCATTTATTACATCAGTTACATGTGTATCAGCTATGCATGTGTTGTCTTTACAATTACTCTCTATTTTGTGATGTGTTCCATTACAATATGTCCCCACCCTTTTGCACAATTCCCCTTTGTCCTTGCTGTGCACTTTTATATCCTGTATCTCTCTGTCTTCATTGATTATAGCCTGGTGTTCTGAATTGTGTCTTTCATTACAGTCACTGTAGCATTTATTTAAACCTATGTTTAACAGTTTATTATTCTCTGCTTTAACATTGTTAACATTACAGATTTCCTGTCTTTCTACGCCTTTTCTATCTGTGTTTGCGGTCTGTAATCTCACCTCATGTGTGCTTAGCTGTTGTTGTGTCTCCACAATTTTGTCCTCTGTAGTATCTATGTATATCATGCATGTTTCGGAGTTTATAGATTCATTCAGTCTGTTGGGATCGCTTTCTTCACACTGTGCGTTCAACTTCACTTCAGTGTCTGGTGGGCAATTTACCTTTGTGTCAAAGGGGTCTGTGTTGTGTTGGCTTTGCACATGTAAACTGTATGGACCCGTCCTGCCCTCAACTTGAGTTTCTGTGCAAATAGCCTGTAAACTGGACTGTTCTAGTTGTAGTTTCTCTGTACTTAGATGGGGGCGTAGCTTAACTGAGCACAGGTCTCTGGTGTTGAACTTCAAAGGAATATTAGAGTCCACATGGTTCTCTGGGCTTTTCCTCCTGCTACATCTGGATCGTCTAACATAAGTCTCTGGGGCGTCTCTGTGGTGATCCTTAGATGTCACTAACTCTCTCTGTCTGGCTATCCTCTGCCTGGTGCGGAAGCTGCTGTCTGTTGTTCCCCAAGCAACGTAGGTGTCCTCCAGTCCCAGCAGGGCATCCGGGGAGTCCTCCTCATCTGGACACAAATCTGACAGGTTGCTGCTGTGCCAAGAGCTGAAGTCAAAGTACTCGTCATATGTGTCACCCCCTCCTATGCCTGTCTTGCACCATTCCAGGGAGTCAGCACCCAAATCCCCATCCTCCAAACCTAACCCTTCAGAGAAGTAAGGGGAGTCTTCAAGGGCTTTCTGGGGCTGTGGAGACAGTAACGAAGAGGCGGGTGAGATAAAAATCAGTGCAGTAACACGACAGGAGGTTTAGCACAATGCCAGTAAGAATCTTAAAGCTGATCCCTATCCAACCACTGACAAGCTACATAGGAAGCAGTAAGAAGGCAACGTGTTAAATATCAATTTTAACCATCAGTCAGTCAACAAGTCCTAAAGATATAAAATATTTTTTTTAAAATACACAACATTGGTTTAAAGTCACTTAGTGAAGTACTGAGTGTTGAAACTTCCCTCTATTAAAACTAGCAAAAATTTGGATTTTCTTCGCATTTTGTGTAAGGATATATGAACTATAAATGATACCATAACTTTTGCGCATGTTCTATTTTAACTTTTTAGAAGTGAATAAAATGGACACACTATGTAAGTGTCTGTGGAAACAGCTGCTTAGCCTTGAGCCTCTGAGTGGCCGTTTCCTATGGCATCGGTTAACTGACAGCTGGCGTTGCTAGGAGACTGTCAAGTTCTGTGCTGCACTACTAACTGGAAATACTGTACATACTGTTTAGCCTATGAGGGCTGATACAAGACTTCCACGTCTTCAGTTGAAGCAATGTAATTAACAATTTTTAGCGTCCATCGGCACATTCCACCAATAAAATTACAGTACAATTTACTACATAAATGTTCTTCATGAGGTTACTGCTTTTAGCAAAATATTATGAACAGGTAGTTCTGCGCGCACACACGCACACTCTCTCTCTCTCTCTCACACACACACACACACACACACACACACACACACACACACACACACACACACACACACACACACACAGTGCCTCTGGTACATGCACATGTACACATCTTACAAACTCAGAGTTTTACTTACTCTCCAGTACTTCAGTGCATTCGCCGTATCCAGCACTAGAGCAAAAAGGCAAGCAGCAAACCAGCTAAGCACTGCTCCCATGGTGTCCCTCAAACATACACTCACACACATAACCACACACTTTGTACACACACTCACAGGATCCCCTTTTCCTGATACTACATGTCCACAGCTTCCATCTGCACTCTTCGTCCTTTGTCCCTGTGTTTATCTTCCATGATGATCAAGTATGCTTGCTAAGCTGAGTCTTAAATTACAGAGCCACCCCTTTCTTCATCTGCCTGCAGTGACTGGCCTTTACATAAATCCTTGCAGCAAGATAACTGTACACACAGGAAGAAGCTGAACTTCCCTTTTCACTGTATGTTAAAGATGTGGGGCTTCTACCGCAGCCAGGACTTAATCCAACCTCAAAACAGCAGGTACACAGTGATCTCTGTGTCTTAATAACAAGGAAAGACATTAAGAAGCCCTGCTATAAATACAAAGCTCAGGCAGTTCAGGTTGCATGACAACTCTACTTGAGGACAAGTAACCTTAATGTAAGCTAACTTAAATCACACGAGGAAGTGAATAGCTTCTTGGATTGTATATAAACAGGAGCATAGACCTTATCAATTTAACTTGTCCGGCAAACTGCCTCACTTCATCATGCAGCCTTTCGGATGGCATTAAATCACTAGACCATTACAAAAGTCAGTTCAGATTAAGAGATTAAACAATTAAATAATACATTTGTAATCACATCCACATCAGAAGCAGTCTCTACTTTTTTATTTTCTTATTGCCAGCATGTCTTATCTTTTTTTATATTAGTAGTATTTTTCTTTATTGTTTTATTATTATTTTAATAGCCTGATTTTATTTGCCTCAGTCCTGAAATGTTTTAATCCTGGTTCAACGATGTAAAGCACTTTAACTTGTTTTTTAAAAGCGCTGATTAATTAATGTACCCAGTTCATGAAATTCTTACTGTTGTAAAGTATTGTGACCTGCTAAAACATGATGACCACTGTGATTTTAGCAAAGTCTATTTATGTCCAGGTTCACTTGGACATGTAGCAGACAAATGTTCCCCACTGACTGGCTGAATACTACTCCCCTGCGCACCCAACCTCCATCCCCCTTAGCACAAGTGGCGGTACCGAATGGGAAACTCTCCAATCATTGGTTAATTCAGACATGGTCCATTCACAGACTGGCCAATGTTATTTTCTGCTAATTAATTAGAGTTGAGTGTCTTAAAGAAGCTTAAAGGCTTAGCAGAACTCCCTTTCAAGCAGATAGTGGAGTGTCTGATTGTGGCCCAACACTGACTCTTCTCTACCGTCCATGTTATCATACCTGTAGCAATCAGAGCCTTGAACTACTGGCTTGAGCACCCAGCTGACTCAAACCAACAGAGATGCTCTCTACAAGAACAACGATCACTGAGCTGGAAAATATAAGTTCTCAATTGTCCTCTGGTCTCTGCCAACATGCATACTGAAGTGAAAACTTGGGATGTCCCAAGCTCACCATGAGGCTTATATTGGTGCCGATCTGGGCATGTTTTTATTGATCATATCGGCTAAAATAAAGCAGATTATTTTGTTTGAGTGTTTCTCCTTTTCACTCTCCCTCAGTTGTTTTCTTAAGTGTGCTGTTTACTGCTGTTGTTCGGCTGGTTGAATTGTGTCCTTGAAGGACATTGGAGATCTTGATAGCACTGTAAAGACAGATTTATCAGATTCCACACGCACACGTTCTACATATACGTATATGTTACCTTCGGGGACACACTCTCTTTATCTTCAATGGGTAAAACCACTGAATTTCTGCAGTCAGATGGTTTCTGCTTTCAAGATGAGTAGAGTTTTACTTACCAAATGCAGTCATTGTTGAACAAGCGTCAGGCAGAGCTGCGTGCAGCCTCCTTAAGTCTTATTGTCATAGTGACACTGAAGTTACCAGTATGGTACCATTGCAATATACTGGCACTATAAACTGAGATGCTGCACAGAAGTGCTGGGTGAATGGGGACACACTTTAGACAAAAGACCAGTTCATAAAGGTCTGCTTGTCCAGTGAGACAAAAGCTTTGGTCCAAGTTGGGAAAAAGCAGCTTTTAGGCCAGTACTTAAGGTTAGGATTATATTAGGGTACGTCTGTAGGAAATCAATGTATGTATATGTAATAATGTTCCCAATAGTGACATAAGTAAACTTGTGTGTGTGTGTGTGTGTGTGTGTTACTATGTGTCTCAGTAACTGGTGTGTCCATCAGTAAAAGTCTCCACAAAGATGGAAAAAAACAAGTATGTCTATGCATGTGTTAAAAAGGTGAAATGTCCGCCAATCCATCCACGAATCACAACAGAGGAACAACCTGATGGAGGTTTAATCTGCTGATCTACTTGCCCTATCAGAGTACCACTCAAAGAAGACACGCTTAGTCAAAAATTGTAGGTCATACTGGTAAAATAACCATCTGCACTGGAAGGCATTTTTGAAAATGTGGATATGTAATTTGTGTGGATAAAGTAAAAAAAAAAGTCTGCATTACAGCGATTTTAAAAACTGGCAGAAATTTCGACTCCCAATTAACATTGGAGCTCAAGCTACAGGTGCTTGACGTTGTTGTTATTTATCCACCCATCCAGTGTATATAATTTTTGTATATAACTTTTGCTTTTTGTGATTAACATAAAGGGAACAACAACTTTCATTACTCTCATTATACAACTCTGTGTTGTAAAATGATAAATCTACCTTGTAAAAGTATACAGAAGTAGTAGCGAAGCCACAAAAGATCGGAAGAAGAAGCATTAAGAATAAGTATAAAGATCTGAATAACAAGCTTTGAATGCCGATTCAGACTTCCCATAAATAATTTGCTTGTAAAGTCTGCTTAATTTTGGCTCTTTTTATATATGACAAAATGTAAGTATATATTATAAATGTTTTCAAATTCTGCTACCAGGTCAGCATTGATAGTGTAGGGGTTATTTTCAGGCCTGTAAAAATTTTTGAAATGCACTGAAACCATCACCAAGCTGTGGCATAGTAGCCTATTTGCACTACTGACATGCCTGTATTTGTAAACAGCACAATACTGTTTTAGGCTATAGCCTAATTAAAATTTGAACTACAGTAAGCTATATTTTATATAGTGGTATATTATATTGTGTATTTAATATAATACACAGTAATTTAATTTGTATGATAATTTAAACTTTATATCTATGATTATACAAACGCAAATTTGATGGTAATCTGCATGAGGAATAATATATATTTTTTATAATAATCATTCAAAAAACCACAAGTGCAATAGTGCAAAAAAAAGGAGAATTAAATGTGGACTCTCTTCTAAAGGTGTAACAGTAAATTAATTAATATCAGATTATAATATTTATTTATTTAAGATCCACTCCTCCCAGTCATATTAATACGCAGATTCTTCAAGGCACAGGCTGAGGAGGTGGAGTTACAGCTATCTTCAACTCGAGTCTACTAATCAGCTCTAAACCTAAAATGCCACTTGACTCTGTTTTGCCTCTAAAAAAAGTTAATAAAACAAAGACAGTTAGCTCCATGATAAGACATGAAAATTCGCAAATTAAAGCAAATATCGCAGAAACTTGAGAGGAATTGGTGTTCCACCAAACTGGAAAATTCTTGTTTAATTTGTCAAGAAACTCTCAAAACTTATAGGAAGGCCTTCCGTAATGCCATCATTAATAGAGGAAAATAAGAACAGCCCCAGGTTTCTTGTCAGCACTGTAGTTAGAGAAACTGTGAGGAATCTTGGAGTTATCTTTGATCAGGACATGTCCTTTAAGTCTCACATTAAGCAAATTTCAAGGACCGCCTTTTTTCACCTACGCGATATTGCAAAAATCAGGAACATCCTGTCTAAAAATGATGCAGAATTGCAGATTGGATTACTGCAATTCCTTATTATCAGGCTGCTCGAAAAAGTCCATTAAGACTCTTCAGCTGACCCAGAATGCTGCAGCACGTGTTCTGACAGGAACCAGGAAAAGAGATCACATTTCTCCTGTCTTAGCTTCTCTGCATTGGCTTCCAGTAAAATCCAGAATAGAATTTAAAATCATTCTTCTTACCTACAAAGCTCTTAATGGTCAGGC